CGAGTCCCTTATGATATATACAACACATCTCCTGTTGACGCCATTATATAACCAGTCATTTTGGCTATCCACGGAAACTTTCAGCAGATGATTTGTTATACAAAATCAGTAGTGCTTTAAAGCGAGAGGGTTGTCACCTGCGCACGTGCGAGAATTAAGTCCCAAGCGACAATAACATACGGTAATTACGCAAAAGCTCATGGGTAGATGCTTGTTTGTAAACAATGACACGCTATGGCCACCTGACGCATACATAGGTGATGACTTCCCCCGCTTTAATGTACATTACTTTTGACCATTTTCGCACCACAATAAAAATCAATACCTCAAGATGAACTGGAAACTGAATTCCTCCACACACACACGTATTAAAGTTTGAAACAGCTCACTAGAAAATGACAAAAAAAAAAAGACTAACTTACACTTGTTTCAGAGGTGGTGTTCGCTTTGAAGCTGTGACTTTCACCAGGTCAAATTTACCAGACAGCAAGTTGGAGAAAGAAGAGTTTTGATCTTGTGAGAACAGCTGACTTGTCTTCATGGGTCCTGTTATTTTTGGTCTGAAATCCAAGCAACTGCCATTATTTATGTTATAAAAACAAATTTACTAGAAAATGGACAATGTATAAACAAATAATTGTAATTTAGAGAAATTATACATTCATGTCTTAAGTAAAGTAATCCCATGTTTGCTTTTTTCTTAATACATAGGCTTACATAAAGTAAAAAATTTGTTTATCATCAATGTAAAACAATATTTCAATTATCTAGTGTCCAGCCAATGCAATGTTTTGTACGTTTTCACTTCTGATAAAGCTAATGGAGTATCGCCAAAGAGCAAGATGGCTGCAAATCTGTTAAATTGTTATGGGCATGTATTCACATTCTGTACAATATATAAAAATGGATTATATTCATCCATGAACACTAATTAAAAAAAAAAAAAAACTTTTCCCAGGGTCCATAGCACCAATAGCCAAATTATTCTAGACTTTTCTAGACCTTTTCCCAAACTTTCTTGCACCCCCCCCCCCCCCGAAAGACATTTTTACCCTTAATTTAGGCCAACATCACCAAAGCTTATCAAGTTCAAAGGAAAATGGTAGTTCCCTGGAGAAAAACGGGCCTTTCTTAAATAATTAATAACTATGAAGAAATTTAAAAACTTTTCAAAGATTTTTTTATTTTTCTTGTAATTTAAGACTTTCCAGACCTCAAAAGATCAAAAGACTTTCAAAGGATTTTCCCAACGCCATGGACCCAGTTTTCATTTGATATCTTATTTTCTGCCAAATGTAAATAAAACAATACCACAAAGTAATATGGGCACAACGCAAGGTGGCGATCAATCAACTTCTTTGATATGACAAAAGCAAAAATGTTAAGGAACAACGACATCTTGGATAGAAATTGCTAAACAATTGGATATGAATATTTTTCACTAAAATACAAACAGCCCCTTTGGCCTAAAATGATCAAATCAAATGCTGCATTGTGTTTGCAGAATGCCAAAGCCACTCATTTCATGAGAGATGCAATGATTGAGGGCAGGGTTATAGCCAGAAAATAGAAATTGCCTTTGTGATTTTTTGTGTATGATTTTTGGGTCTTTTCTAATTTTCTGGTAATTTACAATCAAAATTGGACAGGTTTGTAGAAATTTCCCGTCAAATGAAATTTGTGACTGTCTAGATAGGTTACTGGCTAAAAGCCTGCATGAGGGACTGTTATAGACCGTTAAGGCCTAGCGTTGCTGTTAAATATGCATGACAGGCATGTGTTTATTCAACTGTCTTGTCTAGTTGTTTCCGATTGACTATCAAATTACATTCATCAATTTTAATAAATGTTAAAAGCTCACCTTATAGATACCCTTGGATTTTTTCTGCTTCTTTGGATTGGTATCGTACAAAATCTTCCCCTCTTCTCGCGGCACTATCACGCTCTCGTATCGATTCTTGCACTGCTTTGGTGAACGGTAAATGCGACTACACGAGTTGACCACATCGCTTACCAAGTCCCAATTGATACAGTGACCTGGTGACACCACCGTCAGGTTCAGGGGTAGCTCAAGAAGAGTCTGCACCGCCTAGAGTGAAGGCAAGACGAACAAAACCATATGAATAAGAAAACCAGCAAAGCAATGGGAGTTTGAATTACAGAATGCAATTAAATTATTATAAATATTTATTTATTGAGGGTAGCCACATGCTCATCTCTGAGAGGGTGACCATGAGGAAAAGTTCCAGTCATCCTGTGGTAATTTGTAACTCGTTACAATGTTACTGTGATTTTTTTTGTAATTGCACACTAGAGTGATAGCTTGCAAGTATGGGTACCAAAGACCTAAATATCACAAGTGGGCATAATGTATTCACTGCCAAATGTTCAGACAACCAACATCTAAGATTCATGACATTGATTATACTATATCCGGTAATTTACCCTTAGATATATATAAAAATTCAACATACCTGTAATAAAGCCCAATCTTCATTAATCAGCCACTCAGGCTTGTCTTGCTGCGTATCAATGACTGGCTTATTGACTACAGGTATCGGTTTCATTGGCTGCTGCTTCATTAACGCTTTGATCTTTAGTTGCTTGGCTTCACGTCTCATCTTGATAATGGCAGCAGTTGGGCGGTCGAACAGTGATCTTGGCAAGTGGACATGCTCTCCCTTGAGAACCTTCTTATGACCTATTGCGCCAGAGATCAAATCAAAATCTGTCAACTATGAATGATGTGGGTCGACACATTTTAAGAAAAATAATTTCATGATGTCAATTTTTTTTTCACATCAGACAATAAATGCACAATGGCTGCAGCCAATGGAGAATTGATAGTTTTTAAAGATTTGGTACAATTTAGAAACGAAGAATCACCACAATGATGTGCATTACCATAACAGAAATGTCATTCAATGGAGAGGGAGGGAGGGAGTTTCTTACCAACTGAATCTAATCGTATTCTCTTGACACGTTCCTTCTTGACGTAACACTGTGGTAGTTGAGACTCCGACATGGGATTGCTCTCATACAATATACACATGGCTGTATCTATGTACACATCATTGTCATCCTGGGGAGGGGTTGGTGGTGCCCACATCTGGAGAGTAAACAATACAGTCATAGTTCAGTAACGTCAAGTAGCCTATCGGCATTAGGATAAAATTATCCACCAAGAAAAATATTACGCCAAATTCATGGGATTCTCAAGATTTAATGAATAAAAAAAAACGTTCATGAAAGGTGACCGTGATCAATAGAGGTGGCAAGATTTAGCAATGCTGTTAACTTTAAAGGTAACTTTAATGATGGCCCAAACTGCAATCCATGTGTCAGTAATTCTGCAATTTTTTCCCTACAAATGACCGTGTTCATAAACAAATGAATCTCGCAATAGCAGATCCAATGCCTTGTTTAGAAAGATTATAAAAAGGCAGCCACATCCTCGCAACACAATTCTACAAAATGCCATTAGTGATAAATGTATACAGAACCAAAGAAAGCTTGTGTTTTTCATTATTAAACTAATCCCATCTGTGGACTACCCAGAGCATCTATGAACCAAATTTCAATGAAGTATGAGGATTATGCACATTGTGCAATTTCAGCAATTAGTATGCTCAAATTTCCATCCAAAACTAATGCATTGTTTCCAGGCACTTGTATACTAAGTCTTATTGAACAACAATTGGTATGCAATTAAAGCAAAAATAGTGAATAGATTTGACCCCCAAACCAATTAGGTACAGGTATTGTTCGAGGGCACATATGTACTAAGTTTCATATAGTGATTGTCAACAATAAATTAAAAGCCGAAAATTAAATTATGCAAATTAGGTCATTATTTTTTATGTATATAAATAAACCCCAAACTACGACGTTATTAGATCATTGCATTGTCTTGGAGTATTTATGTACCAAGATTCATTTGAAATAGGATGAGACCCGGGTTAATGATGGGAAAGCTGAAAACTATTATGCAAATCTGGTAATTTAAATGCAGATTTTAATGTAAAACCAGTAAGGTCTGCGCAATATCACAGACCAATGCAAATTTAGTAATTAATATGAAAAGATTTAAACCAAAACTAAACAGGTCTGTACATTGTCCCAGCACATTTGTGTACCAAGTTTCATCAAATCAATGAAAGTCAACCATGTAATGGTGTGAAGCTCCTAGAGGTTACCGCACAATGAGAATGGAATGAAAGGGAAATGTACATCTTCAGTTATTAATGAAGCCTGCCATTATGCATTGTAGTTGGCTGGCTCCCACCTCAATTTTCATGGCGAACAAAGCCACAAGAGGCGGTAACTAGTAATGGTTCCAGCATTATGATTGGTCCATCTAGTTCTCATTCTTTGTTGCATTTGCTTTGGTTACCAGTACCTGACGTTGAGACTCGTGTACAAGAACAGGGGTTTCTTTTTACTCTCAAAAGTTGCATAAAATAGTGATAAATGTCTAGGTAGGAAGAATAATTGAATGGATGGATGGATGTGGAATTATTGCAGTATTACACACAGACACGTTTATGTACGGAACGTTTTCAAATTACATCACTAGTCGCATGATTCAGAGCCCAGTGGAACAGTATGGCGATTAGTAGTGATCTGCGTCCGACTTGCCAGGAACCAGCAACATATTGAGGTACTCCAATGCCATAATTTTGACCAAGGTAGAACATTACTTTGTTTTTATCATCCAGGCTGTTTAGTCGCCTAGACGTTTGTGTTGGGCTTCTGAATTAATGCAGATGATTATTCCAAATCAGGTAAGGATTGATCTAGGTTCATACAACAATCTTTATACCAGACAAGATTTTATATTATTTCTGAAATGCAACATCTGAGTATTAATGTAAATTACAAGGCTTAAATTGCCTTGCTGCCCTTTAGAAAAAGATGCTTTATTATGTGGACATGTATACTAAGACAACATTGACTTTGATACTGTGTGCCCTCTCAACCCTCAAGTCTCAAGTCTCAAGCACATGGTTAATCAACCAGAAATGGCATGAATGCTAAAAAATAAAGTTTCATTGCCTTTCAACAGACCAGCTGTAATTTTTGGGGGGCTGGCAAAACAATTTATACTGTAACTTTTCCCTGAACAAGTAGTGTTTATTTTGTTATCAGGAGAAAAAAATTGTACTTACTGGCATCACAGCTGATGAAGTATCTGCTACATAAACCTGAAAAAACATGATTTTACACAATGTCAGTGTTCAGTCTTCTGCTGGCATCTTCATGGACACCAATAGTCTTATATCCATAGAAATCGCCGAGTTCACTTCAGTTTTTAGATTCACAAACAGGGGTTGGTTAACATTTTAACCACAATTGCACCCATCAAAATTTTAATAGTGCAGCGTTCTAATTTATGACCAACTTAACTGGCATGTAGTCTTGTCAGTAAATCAATTTTTGACAAATGTGGAAAACATGTCCATGAGAAGTAACAAGAGAATTTCAGACCCAAAGAGAAAATATTTGGTATACTCATTCTAGATTTCCGTAGATCAAAATGTGAGCCAACAGTAGGAAGTGCTCAGGAATTTGTGCCTTGATGCATAAATGGCAAATTGTCACTTTCAGTAGTTGTGCATAGAAGCTTTGATAGCAATACGACCAATTATTCTGATGTTTGCTTTTGGCCAGCATTAAATTTGTAAACTTGTCACGAGTGGTCAATATGTTGCTGCAGTTTTCATAATATACCAATTAAATATTAATCACCACAGTGCATAAATGAAGGGATTGTGGTTTCCATGGATACAGGTATTCAGCTAATTATTGGAATGCGAGTGGACAGGACTGCCTTGATATGAAGCACAATTTATCTTAGAGACGTGTACTAATTGAGACTTTATGGTTGACAAGTGTTGAATGCAGATAACCAACACTTGGCTATGTGATTAAATTTTTAAACATAAAAAATATGTAATATTGTTATTACAATAACAAGTAGCAAGTAGGGCATGTCCATATTGCCAGATTTTAAAATCACAAGGTCATTGTCCAACTCACTTTCAACTCGTCAAAAGTATGTTTTACATTACATTCAAGGCCTGCCGATCTTATTTTTTTTGTACTTTCATTTCACAAATGGTTCTGAGAAAAACGAGAGAGTTTTAGAAAATTGTCACTCAGTCCATATTCTACATGTTCAATGAAGCATAAAACTATCAAGGCAGACACCACCCCACCCCCCACCACATTGGAGTCCTTCAACTCTCCGCATACACCATTCCTTGCATGCATCCATGACGATCGCATGGCCCTGTACTTGAGATGGCAATGGGTAAGAGTAGCTGGACAAGTGTGTCAACAGACAGAAATGGTGCCAATCAAACTGCGAGAAAACAAAAATCAAATCATCTATACCCCAATAATTTATACTTGTCTCAGCCAAATACACTGGCCCATGCCATTCTAAAATCAGGTCCATGCGAAGT